CTAACTTGTGTTACTGGAAATGTCTGCAACAGTGTAATTCTGTGTTTAAGGAGCAGTTTGGGTTTTAGTAAAGGCCTTTGCCTATCATTGGGCTGGCAGTAATGACCGGCAGCTTAAAAAAAAAAAAAAGTAAACTGTTCCTTGAAAGAAATAATTGAGAAACTGGTTTTAATAGAACTATTTCTAGGCCAGAGCTAAGTGATACCTGTTTGTTGTCCAGTATAGTCAGCTGTGATAAGTATATTTCTGTGTGGTGATTTCTAAATTCATCAGTTTATTTTTGTATGCTGTACTTGCTTAGCTATTTTACTTTTGATAGAAGTAAATTTATAATATACTGGATGTTTGTGTGAAACTCTGTGGCTGAGGAGATGGAAGCAAATTCGAGCAATACATTGGCAAACCTCATGACAGTATAGTATTTAAAATTGCACACCTGTGTACATGTTTAACTCAAACTTTGTTTTACTATGCAAGAGGTCCTCCTGTACTTCTCAGCATGGGGTTAAGAAGTCCTGTGTTTTAAAAAATGCAAAACCAAAAAGCCACATCCAAACCTCCCAAAACCTGTTTCCTCAATGTATATGCATACTGCATAATAATTGGACATGTTTTACTGTGTTTCAACCAGGAAACTTTCATGTCTTCGCATCCTTATGCCATTTTAAGCAGAGAACTTTTCCAATGGAAAAGAGAGAAACTTTTTAACAAAGTCTAAAAAGCTTTTTTTGAACTGCTTTGGGGGAGAGCCATAGGTACATATAGCTTTTTAAACATCATAGCCAGGTGGTTTGAAATCAATGTTAGCTGCACTGAGTTTCTGGGAGTTGCAGGAGAAAAATTTCTCTAATTCTTTCCAGATCCAAGGAACAGGGGTTTTTTGGTGGTGTGATTTGTTTTTGGTTTTTTTTTTCTTTTTTCTGTTTTTCTTGGTTAAGACTGTGTGTACATTCCAGTGTCTAGGCTGGGCAAGAGTGTCTCCGTTGATACTTTGTACTTGCTGGTGTGATGGTTCCATGTGTTTGAAATAGTTGTCCCACCATGCCTTACAGCCTTCTGTAAAGGGGAGTTAGTGGAAATTTTAATCTGTGTATTCGAGTGGCTGTATTCGTGCTAGTCTGTTTTGGGGGGGGTGGGGGGGGGGGGGAAGGAAAAAAGTGTCACATGAACAACCCTGAAGGTCTTTGTCCATTTTCAGTCAGACTCTGTTTTCATAGCACTCCAAATGCTTTTTTGCAGCTTAATGGCACGGTACCTTGGCAGTTTTCTAGAAGAGCAGCATCTGAGTTCCAAGTCCTCTTGGAGATGTGTGTGTCCTTTTCTGCATAGCTGCTCTCTGAAGAGCAATTTGAATATGCCAAGCAAAGCTAGTGTTTTTGGATTTGTTTATTCTTAAGCACTTGTTCCTAAAGTCATGGATTTCTTTAACAGCAGCTTCATGAAAATACTTAGGTTAGATGCAAATTATAGCAGCCTTAAGCCTAATTTGCAGTATATTCTGCAAAGTCATCTTATTTTTCCCTTCCTCCCCCCTTAGAGTTTGTCATGCCTGAAACCACAGAGCTTTTTGCACAGAGAAGTCCTCTGGTAATACCAAGCGTGGGGACATCTCTAATTCCAGCAGAGATCAGCCAGCAGTTGGTACAACGGATATAATGGTTTCTGGGTTGGTAAAAGGAAAAATTATCTACTTCCAGCAGTTGCAAGACCAGTGTCTGCATGGGTAATAAAAGGAAACTTCCACTGTCTTCTGCCAAGAGGGCTTTCTACGCAAAGCAACCAGAATGATCCACTTCTCTTATTTAGCAATGGGAACGCTTACAATAATGGCTTAGATGCTAATAGCCACGAAGGAAGCTAGATTATGAATTTAAGGCACACCAGTACTGCCTCTGGACATGTTATTGTTTGTTGTGCAAATAAAGTAGCTCCTTCTGCTTAGCCTTCAGTGTGGGGTAGGATTGCCCACAAAGTAGCAGAGGTACCATGATACCTAATTTTTTTTTTAGGAGTTACTTGCCAGTGGGAGAGTGGTATTTGGAGTTCACTCTAGTATGAACCCCTAGTCTGCATCCAGCTGCTCATCTTTTTTTCTCCTTTTGTGCTGGTGCTAGTAGTAAGCTGAATTGGAGAACTGATCTGACTAAAGAAGTTAGTTATGCTGATCTTTATTGTAGCTGCTGGTGTAGGGAGGGGGAGGATCAGGCACGAGTGGGTGGAATGGTCCCTCTTGGCAGTGTTGTAGATTTATGCTAGACTAGATCTTGTATCTACAGTTTATGATTATGAGTTATCTCAAACCGCATTTAATGGGTTGCTTTTTTTCATAGGAAAAGCTTGCGTAAAACTGGTACTTGCGGTAGCTCAAGGGCTTACAAATACCTTTTTTTAATGCTTTGTGAAAATTACATGGAAAGTCATTGAGTTAATGGAATTTTCACTTCTAAAGTTTCTCAGATTTTAATCTAGGTGTCATATCTGAAAAGCCTGCCTCCAGGTACTGTGTAAGAGTTTTGTGATGTCTAGAAAAAGGGCTTTACATGGAAAAAGACGTGTGTCATTAGGATATGCATTTGTTTGTTTCTTACTGTCTCATGACTGCTGGAATGCTGGAATTCTTCCAAGTTCATAAATTTTCTCAAACCATTATGGTAAATTGGCTTTGTACATATGGACTTCTGTTTTCAATGTTTGTTTAATATTAATAAATTAATAACCCATATATTTTTAAACATATGTATAACTCCATTGACACTGCTATCTTTATCTTTTAAATTTTTTAGCCTTAATTTTGTGTGAGCTGCCTGTCCCTTTTCTCTCTCTCTGCAGAAGGATTTTTATCTTGTCTAGCTGTACTGATTGAGGTCCTCTTTGGTTGTGGCAAACTGATCTTTGACCCGGAGAAGCAAACAAATCTCCTTCTAAAAATACGATCTTTGGGATCTGTCCCGGTTATAAAATGCCTCTTTCCAGCAGGGTATTATCTGACCACGTAACAGTGCCAATTCCTGCAAGTGTTGCCTAATGTATGAAGAGCTTATCGTCTAATGTTTAAGCAAATGTAACAGCATCATAAATAAAATTTATTCTGTAGGGTAAATTGTCTTCTTGCATGCTAGGATAAAGTTCCATAAAGAAGAAAAACCCTACAGTGTTATCTGGTTTTATCTGCCTTCATGTCCCTTAAGTATTTAATATAAGATATATATCTCTTTCACGTTGCGCACTTTTTTCCCTCTCCAGATATTAAAAGGTATTAAGAAATAAATATGCTTTTGCCTTGCCTGTGGCATGGTATAAACAACTGCAGGTATGATTCTTCTCAAAACAAGTGTGTTTTGGTTTCTAGTGGTGACTTAGCTTTGAGATTGGCAACTTTTATTAGAAATCTGTGTCTCATCAGTTCCCAAATTCTTCTCTTTGGTTTGGTTGGTTCGTTTTGTCCCTGTTGTAATTAAAGACGGGGACTAGGTTTTCTCTTGGAGTTGAGCCTCTTCGCGCTGCATATTAGATATACTTAGCTGGTCGTTTAGTTATGCAGACCAATGGCTTAATGTTTCCTCTTTTGATGGGGTTAGAGCAAGAGGGTAGTGCATGTCCGTATGCTGTTCAAACGCGTTTTCCCCCTTGGGGCTGCATGAATAAACCAGCTGCAGGCATGGGCCGGTGCTGGCATTGCTGTGTTAATACATGCCATGCTATGATGGAAACTAGCTAAAGGGAGAGGGAACCTGAGTTTTGTTCCTATGCTGTGTAAAAATCATGACACGTCCCTTGTAAAGCCCGCAGATGGACAGCCACTAGGCCAGTGCTCTAAAATGTACGTATTTTAAGGGGCCACCCTGATCTAGCTCCTTGCTGTCTCCCTTGTCACTGTGCGGGACTGCTTGGATACTGTTGCTAGTGTGGTGATTTTTGTCTGCCCAATGTGGAAAGAGCGAGCTAATTTCTCTGTCTGTTAACGCTCAACCTCTGACTTAATCTCTTTCCCTTCTGAGCTTTTGTATGAGTGCTTTTTCCTCCAGTCCTTTGTAGTAATCCAGATGCTCGTGTTCTTTTCCTCCTACACAGCAGATGGAGATGGCATAAGCCTTTTGATGACTGCTTCCTTCTTTTTACATAAGTTTTATGAGCTGGTGAGTTCGTTAGTTGGACATGGTAGAGCTCGTAAGCCCTGTCCAGCAGGTGGTGCATCGTTACCTTGCCAATAATTATATATATTTTAAGGATTTTTTTTAAAGTTTTTAATTTAATCTGGGAGGTGAGCTTTACCGCATGGTTATAGGAGAGGGGAAGGCAGATCCCTCATATGACTCTGATGAATCTGTTTCATTTTAGCCAAAAAACCTATTCTGAATTTAAGTTAATTACCTAAATGCTGTGCTATTCCAAACTGTAAGAAAGCGACTCGGAGGTAATTTTGCTGGTTGAAGAGTTGAACTTCTGCTTTCTTGTGTGTTGTTCTAGGCTTGTAGCTCATATGAAAAATACTTGTTAAAATTTGGCATGAGTTAGATGGTCATCTTCCACCCTCCAAGAAAGTTTAAGTAGGTTAGCAGCTCACTCTCTCTGTTCCAGTATCGCCCGTCTAGTGGAGGACAGTTTTTGGCTTGCTAACTGCTGTGCTGCTCATCATTTTAACCTTATTGAAAAGTTCTCACCCCACTGAGGTGAATGAGACCATTTTTTCCACTTCATTGAGGACTTGGGCCTACGTAAATTCATCTGTTTTACATTTATTTCACAATTTACTTTTTATTTTTTATTTTGCAACTTGGAGCTCCATTTCACAACCACAAGGCTTGGAGGCGTATTTTGATGGGTCCTGTAAAATAGCGATGTAGAAAATTTTTAATAAAAGAGGGGGAGCTTAGTCTCCACCTAGCGATTTAGGTAGTTGCATGAGAATGTTACTGATCTGCATGTATGACAGATCTTACTGGAGATGTAAAATATAATGTGGCTGTTATTTAAATTAATTCTGGCTTCTCATTTTTTAGGAATATCTTGGTGGATAAGCCCAATGATCAGTCTTCAAGATGGTCTTCAGAAAGCAATTATCCTCCCCAGGTAAGCATCTGAATCTCGGCAACTGTATAGCTGTGTGGTACAACTTAATATATACTGGAGTTTTTATTTTAAATGTAGGCCCCTACTATTTATATTGACAGCCTTTATAGGCTACCTTCTCTCAGTAAAATGCAGGTTGTTGGTACATTAGGTGTTTACATTTCCAGCAATTTATTTGTGATCTTTCAAGTGCTTTTTTGTGGGGGAGGTTTCACGTTTCATCCTTGACAATCGTGGTTGTACTGGAAATAATATAACCTTATGGTTAGATTAAGCTGCTAATGAGGCATGCAGGTCCCCCTTTGTCAGCACTACTGGTAACTGTTGTAGATTGCTGGCCTTGAATCCTAGATCTAAGGAGCTTGTATTTGTTTCCCCAGTAGCACATTTAGGAGCGTAGACTCTGTTTAAAAAGACATGAATGTCACCTCTTCTGTTGGTTAAGCAGCTTATTAAAATAAGATTTTTATTGATTTTAGCATCTAATTTGCTTTTTCACTATTAATTAGATTGTTAGATTATCCAGAAAAATATGCTTATCCTTTTACTTATTTTTTTTCTCCAGTAAATGTGTTACCCTTCTCTTTTGCTGGTTCTATACCTTATTACTCTGGTACTGTTTGGTCAGCTTCTCTCTCTCTTATGCTGGTTGTTTTAAATTCTTTTGTTTAAAACACTGATGCACAGCAGAGTGTGTTGTGCAGTATCTCTCTCATGCAAAGTTCTTCTGCTTATCTACTTATTTAATTCCAGTACTCCTCATGAGTTAAGTCTCAGAATTTTTGTCTACATAAATCTTGCTACTTTGAAGGTGTGTCTAGACTGGCAGCTCCCTATTGCAGCAGGTCATCTCATCCAGCTGAAAAGCTTTCATCTTGATGAGAGGGAAAACTATCCTGTTTATTCCATTAACATGTTTCATAAACCTGCTTGTGAAGACTAGTAATTTTGATCCTCTTGATGCCTTTGTGCATCTACTGCTCTTTTAATTTTGTTTTTTTACATAAATAAATATATAGATAGATAGATATAACAGCATAGGAATTTAGTCCATAGCCTTAAGCACTTTTAGTCTATCTAGGAACTATCAGTTGCTGGGTAATGGGTATAGAGCATATATTGTATACCAGTCTGTGCCATCCTTTACTTCCTTTCATGCAGGAAGCACGTGTTTTTCTTAGGGCTGTCTTGGTCACAAAGCAAGGTTGGCTTGTGGTGTAGCTTTGGGCAGGGTTTTTCACCTGAGGTGCACTTAGTTGTTGCTAAAAGTTGCTCTTTCATTTTCTGAGCCATCCTGAATATTTCGTGCTTTTAAAAACCTGATTCTGGAATGGGAATACATCTCTTGTAACTAGGTGCTTTAGAATATTCCCAACCTGTGCTTAAAGCTGGCAAGCAGTGATACAAGTTATATTCAGGCACGTAGCTTAAGCAGGGAATAATTAGTGGCAGACTTCTGTATAAACCACATGAGCTTGTTAAAGAGATGTCTTCCAACAATTTTATATGTATTGATCATGACCTGAATTAAGATGCTGTTGCAGAACTGTTGAATCCTGCATGCTAAGGAAGTCACTTAAACCAAACTTTTTGGTAGGGGAGAAATGAATTAACGTCACAAATCTACCTCTTGCTACCTTGCATCTACCTCATCTCTCTCTCTCATCTCGTATCACTCTCTCTTTCTCTCTCACCTCTACCTCATACACACCCTGCATTCCCTCTTACCTCCCCTTCCTCACACACCTCTGCCCCCCTTTCCCTCGCACATCTCCCTCTGTTGTACCCCTTGTGCTGTCTCTCACACCCCCCCGCCCCGCACCCCCTGTCCATCCCTCTCTCATACTTGTCTCTCTTGTATATGAGGTATCCAGATTTGAGGTCCTTTGATCTGACTTAGAAAAAGTTAGTCTTCGTAGTGGCAACTGAGATTGGCAAGACAGTATTTCAGTTTTATTCTGTGTTATTTAAAGACAAAACCAACAGAAAACCTGACTGCCTAAGTGGAAAAAGCCATCCTGCTGGATTCCTCTTACTGGAATCCCTGTATCCAATAGTGACAATATAAAATGCTGCGTAGTTGCTCGTGTATTCCACAAGCCGAATCCTGAGTGCTGAGTGAGAGAGATGATCTGTTTGCAGTGTCTCTAATATGTACTTCAGCTAATTCTCATGCTTCTAACTTGATTGTTTAATTATTCATGTAAAGCATTTTTTACAGTGTAACTTCTCTGTTGAAAAATTAACTGGAAAGAGGGAATAGGGAATTAAAATTGTCAGAAGAGGCCTGTGTGCAAAGAATGCTGCTTTTGTTATTTCTGTGTATGCAGAGAGAAACAGTTCCAAATTGTGTTGTCTCATACTTGACAAAAGAACTTCAGATTTGGTTGCACTTTGCTCAAAATAGCTAGTTCTCGCACCTTGCCCATTGAAAGACTGCCACATTTTAATGCAGGTAAAACTTTTATACAGGTTTTCTGCTTCCTCGTTCTTGCAGATGGCTGAAGTTCTTAAGGCATATTCTTAGCTTGAAAAACTTCAGTTAAGACAGTGGGTGACTGAATTGTAAGTGTGGTGAGGAGAGAAGTCGGGGAGGGGGGGAAGTTTGTTGCTTTATGTTACAATTTAGGTATTTCATATTCAAAAAAATGAAGATATATACACATGACTTTAAATCCCCAGAATAACATCATGTATTCTATGGAAAATGAAGTTGCAAAGCATTTTATGGCTTGTGTGTTGGCATCACTTCATTTGAAAATTGGTCGCTTTGGCAGTGACGTACTTGTTAAAATGTGTGGGTGGCCATAATAGTCCAGGATAGGAAGTGAACTAAAACTCTGTAAAATAAAGCTTTCCTTGTTTCCAACTTTGTTAGCTGAAACTAGGGCTAACACACAACACAAGGACTAATGTCAGTCATGCTCACTGGAATGTGCCATGAGATTTTAATAAGTTCTGCAGCCCTAATCGCTAGTGTTTGTCTCATCAGCGTGTCTCACCGTAATGTAAGGGTTTAGTAACTCTGTGCTGAGGTGGTGGTCCTCTGCTGGCTTTGAGGTGAAAATATGAGTGAGTCCTTAAACATTGATTTATTCCCTTTCCTTGTTGAGTGAAACAAAACCTCTCCAGGAACCTTTTCTTTCAGAGTATTCCTCTTGCTAGGATGAGCATGAATCAGAAGAACATAGGTAAAAATCTGAGAACGCGTTCAGTAGCTCAACAGAGATCCATACGTTGCAGTAAATGTGCTGGAGTCTGTATTAAACCTTTTTCAAAAGGGAAAGAAAATGAAAGTGGAAGTCTAGGCACTTGAAATGCTGCCATGTGACTATATTTAGTAAAGGGTTTCCTCGCTTTATGGGTATGGTAGAGTTAAATAATTCTTGTGGCCATGAAAGCCACCAGTTGGTTATGAATGAGTGCCAGTGAAAGGAAATACATATGACAGCTGTTTTTCTGTTTATTAAACTAGATATCTTTCTTGAGTCTTGAAATAGAATGACCCAGAAATTATATATTCAATAACAAACTTGTTATGTAGTAGCCTATTCAGGCAGAACAGGGCTGATCGTTCTATTTTTAAACTAGTTCTAGGCTTACATAGGAAGTGTGAAGCAATAAGGCTGGTAATGCTGAAGACCTTGGCCATGTCATCAATGCTCATCCTGATGGCTCCAGCGATGGCCTGACTTGGAAGACTGTGTGCAGAAGAACAATTAATTCCCTGCAGTGGCTTGATTAATAATGCGTAGAACAAAAGGATAGATTTTTATTTAGTCACGAGCTTAATTGCAAAAGCAACGGGTAGGTTTGTGCAGTGGACAGGGGCACCTCCTGTTATTTTGTGTTTTTATTTTCACATGCAATACAAGTTTCACTACTCCCTAATAAAAAAAATGCTTGAGCAGAAATGGTTAAAGAGAAAGAAATTAATGAAGTACAGTGGGACTCCAACTATACAGGCAGCTTGCATAGTGCAGTTTGGAATCTCATCCAGTGTATTTGATGTGGAGATATAAATTTTGAACAGTTGAAGAGCATATGTATAAAGTTAGTGACACTGTCCAAACAATTGGTTTCAGTTTTGCATCTGAGAAGACCAGTTTTCCTCTCTTGATTTCCATCCTGCTGTGTAGATTGTATCAGGAACTAATTTAAAGTACATTAATAAAGTTGTGTGATGCAGAAGCATACATATGGTTGTTATCAAATGGTAGCAGAGACCAGAGCTTCAAAAAAGTTTGGAATTTGCTGCAGCTCCTGGTGTGACAGGGCTGGATTTGCCTTTTTTTTTTTTTTTTTGGGTGTACCATAACAAGCTGTTGAGGTGCTGAAGTTCCATACATTACTTCCTCTACTCTGTTCTTTGTGCGTCTTCACTTACAAATATATTTAATCATAAAGCAGTAGTTTTACTCTTCTAATGTTTTGTAGCTTTTTTTTGTAAGTGTTGTAATTTGAGGCTTAACAATTAGGCTGAGGTTTTTGCGCAGTTGCACCAATTAATGTCTGTGTGCCATGCTTCTAATGAACAAACACTTCAGTTTATAATTTGGATTTTTGGAATACTTCATGAATACTTGGACATTAAATGTCCTGATGTTGCTTAGAGCAATAGGATGGAAAAGTGTCAAATATCTTTGTATATGTATTTGTCTGAAATATCATAGACTTGTTCTCTCCAGGTTGAATAAATGACTTAATCTTATGCACACTTCTATCGCATCTTTCAAAGTTACAGAATAGTCTGTCACATCTAAAATCCTGGTAGCAGTCCAAAAATATCCATGCAGCCAGCTGTTTGTGGCTCTTGAGGCAATGTATTTTTTCAATATCAGTGGGATTTGTAGCTGGTTCCTGCGGTGGCAGCAGTGTGTATGTTTGTGTATAAACACAAAAAGTACATCTATGTATATCTTTTTATATGTGTCTGTGTATAGGTATTAAAAAAATATAAAAATGCATATGTATGTACAGGTATTGGGCCACGGGCTTTAAAGCAAACCTGTCTTTTGTTTCCATATCAGTCAGCAGATAAAATCACAAAAAGGTTGTGTTTAGCTTTTGTGCTTATATTTTCTGTAAGGTCTGCCTGACTTGGCAGGTGATGGGATATGTGGAAGCAGGAAGGAGGGCTGCAGAGTTCCCTCTGTCTGTAGGTTTAAGAAATGACTGATAGCCATGTGGAGTAATTGCCATACCTTGCTCCCTTCTAGGCATGTATGCCAGGATAAAGGATTTAACTGCAGTCCTGGTTTTCTCTCCCTTCATTTAGGGTAAGAATTGAATAATGCAGGATGATGTTTGTGACAAGCTTTTGCAAATCTTGTGTGGTACTTGAGAAAGTATGTCTTCATGACCCAAGCATTAGGTTTGTGATTTCAAGCAAGATTAAGAATTGCAGTTGCTGATGCTGGTAGTGCTAGCTTCACTTTCTCAGCTTCGGGAGAAATCTGCAGGGAAGATATGATGATGTAGGAGGAGTTCTTAGATGTTGTTGTGTACTGTCTGTTCTGCACGGGAATTTTGGCAGTGGGCTGTGCCATGTATCAAGTACTGCCTTGCTCATTACAGGACCATCCTTTTGCTCATACCTTCCTTTTCTCTGCTTTAGAAAAAGCTGTTTTCTGTATAGAATTTTGTTTTTTCTGAAGTTTGGGAAGTACTTCGAGACAAAAGCATGGCTTACTGCTAGTTAAACTAACAGTGGGTTCTGACATTCAGGTGGACGGTGTTCACAAAACTAGAAATTTTTCATCAAAAAAATAAAATCTGGAAAGGCACCAAAGCACTTTTCTGTTGTACCCTAGCAGTGCTGATACTCGTTTATTTTCTTAATTCTGAAAAATTTTGAGTCACTGGAAACATCTTTGGCAGTAAATCTTCCTTATTCTATTAGGCACCTATCCAGTCTGCGTTATCATCTGTGACCAGTATATGTACAAGTATTTCTTTTAAGCTAAGTTTTTTGTAAATGTAGTGAGAACCAGCCATTGAAATCAGACACTTATCCTGATGGTCTCTAGAACGATGTCAGTACTGCTGCTAGATTGAGTATTAGTTGTTTTATAGGGCCGTGACAGACTGAAAATTAAATTGATGGCAAAATTTGTTCTGCTTCTCACCCAAAAGATACCCTTCTAGGGTAAGATTGTCCTACTGATGGAGCTGTTTAGCACAAGCAGAGTGATGCCCATGGCACTTTATAGGGAGATACTAGTCTCTACTCGGGAACCATAGAAAACAGCCAAATGCATGCAAATACTTGATGTCGATGAAAGACTCAAGATACTGCGTCATGTCTGGTTTGGCAGTGCTCCTTCTTGAAGGAAAGGGCCACCAGCAGGGCCTGCAGTGGGAGGTGTCGTACAACGCCTTACTGCTCTGCTTGTACTGTAGCCTTGATCACAGGGTTTTGTAACAAAATCCAGCATGATGAGTAATTGCGATTCTGCACTTTGTCTCGTTTCTCTGTTGTGTACTGCTTATTTCTGAGAAGTTAAGGAAGAGAACTAAACACATTGTTTTCAGGTATAAAACTTGACGTATTCTGCAAAACAGGATGTCTCCAGGCTCCCTCCAAGACCTGTTTTGTAGGGGAAGGTTAAATAAACTTGGTGCTTGATGGTCCCTGATGAATGGTGCAAGTGCTTCTTTGCATATGCTTTTCCAGTGGAACAGATCTTTTCTTCCAGCGGTGCTGGTGAAGCTGGTAGCTGGGGCCTGAATATAAATAATCTGACTATTCATATACTGTGGGGTGGACATCTGTGTAAGGGGGGAGCAAATGTTCACAAGGGAGAACATTTTCATTGTTTTATGTGTAAAGCCCCTTTATTGTCAGTTAAGTGGCTTGGTTTTATTTGGTACGGTTAATAAGCAGTTGGTTCCTATGCTAGCCACACATCAAACTTAGTCTGTGTTCAGTGGTTAAATAGTGTCAGCCCAGAGAGGAAAAGTAATTGGATGTTCTCTTAGCATGTGGAACATACTGTATTTATCTAATTGTGTATTCAGTTTAGGTTTCATTTCAGGCTGTAGTGGGCGTTTGAATCATCACTCTCCGTAGTTTGATCCTATTTGCCAGATTTCAGGAAGTCTTGCATCCAGCTTGAAGGAATATATGTAAGCCCTGAATAGAAATGCTAGGAATAGGTAGTTTGACCAAATCTTTTTCCTGGATAAACTGCTTTTAAAGTAATATTCCTAAAAACCCTTTGCTTCATTCCAGGAACAAAGGAGAAAATATAATAATGGGGAGAGATCATCTTAACTTTCATTCTCTGGCTTTGTAAACTGAATTTTTGAAGGCTGTAATGCTTATCCTTTCGTGTGTTTTGCAGCCTTGGCTTTAATACTAAAATTCACTGTTCATTCTTCTGCAGTATTTGATTCTGAAACTTGAAAGACCTGCCATAGTCCAGAGCATCACGTTTGGCAAATACGAGAAAACGCATGTCTGCAACTTAAAGAAGTTTAAAGTCTTTGGTGGGATGAATGAGGAAAACATGACAGATCTCTTATCCAGGTAAGATGTGATTTCATCAGCTATGGTAATCATAAAGGCTGGACCAAAATGCTGTTCCCCTTCACTCCCAAGCAGACACGTGGCTAACAGTGTAATAGAGTTGTGGTTGTGATCCTGCAATTAGCTGCCCTTGTGTTTATGGTTAGGTCAGAGAGCAGCAATCCCAACACTTGCTCCAGGAAGCCTTCCTTATTCTGCTCTAACCACAGAGGATTTGTGGAGAGTGAACTCTTTGAGATTTGGAAGAGCTGAGAGCAGGGTGCTGTGTTGCTGGATTGTGATTCCTTTCTTCTGTGTGCTTGAGGCACAAGAGAAATGAGTCCCCAGGTGTGGGTAACTTACAGTAGCTTTTAAAAGCCCAAGTAACCTGCCTATGTCAAGAATCTTGTTGCAGCTGTAAAGGTCTGAACTAGTCAGCTGCTCTGCCTTTTCCTGAATGGGTAAATAAATCAAATAAGCAAATGGAAAATCCGTGATTTCCTTTGTTTAGTTTGATTTGGTAGTTGTGCTGATAGGGACTAAAGAAAGAGCCTTTTGGCTATTCAAGCTATTTAGAACTTCTGAGTAGTTGCCATTGTAAATTTGCAAGGGCCTTTTGAGGAGTCTTCTGTTTCAGAAAGGGAAATGATAATTTAGGTATCTAGGAGTACAAGAGAAATGAGTAGCAAGAACTAGTCTTTTGGAGGCCTACAGAAGGAAAGCCCACCTCTGGGGAATGTATGGGTGTACGTCATCTGTAGTCAAGCAGAATAGCCATGGAGAAACATGGGAAGTTCTTTGTTGCAGGTGTCCTTCAGGACCATATAGAAACCAGCCACAACCCTTCTCACCCTTTTGCCCTCTTTAGATAGACTAGTCTTGCAATTTGACTTTATTGCTGCTAGAATTAGGGGGGAAGAGGTCTTAGTAGCATAGTAATTATTGATATCTAATGCCATTTCACTTGCACTGAAGTTTAATAAAAATCCTTATTTTGGGACCTGTACTTGCATCTTCAGTAAAAATGGACTTAAGAGTTTTGATAAATTATACTAAATATTTGATATTTTTATAAAGTAATGCCCATAAATGGATCACAAAGCACTTTGGCAGTGTGATAATTCTGAGAGCTGGTCCACCTCCCTCTTGAAAATGGAAAAGTGTGGTTCAGGCAGATCACTTGCTGAAGTCAGAGGGTTATAGGTGCAGATGAGCAGCACTGATCCAATGTCAGTTCCCTCCTGAAACCCCTAGCCAGTTCTGCCTCCCAGGGAGATATAAGATGGTGGATAGCAGTCCAGGCGTTGGTCCAGCATGCGTACTTATGATTCATAGTAATATGAAACAAGCTTCGCATTTCAGGCATGACCTAGATTGCGTTTATTAGCTAGTCCTAAAATACAAGGTAAGATTTAGTAACCTTATTTATTTTTTCCCACAGTGGCTTAAAGAATGATTATAACAAAGAAACATTCACCTTGAAGCATAAAATTGATGAACAGATGTTCCCCTGTCGATTCATTAAGATAGGTAAATGCATTTTTTCAGCATTCTGAGTAGAAAATAATCTCTTCTTATACTTGTGCCAGTCTTGGCACTTGTGACTTCATTGTACTCAGGCAAAGTATCCACAATAGCTGTTCCATTTCATGATCTTTTAGGCTGGTTAGATTGGAACACAGTGAAGTCCTGCTACTGAGAAATAATAGCTTCCTAATTTAAATCCTGGGGAATGAAAGTGAAATACAGTAATTTTCAGAAATACAGTTGCTGAGTCAACTAATTGCTGGAGAAGCTGCTTACTGTCCTACTATAAATTGCGATGCAGAGCTTTAAAAAAAAATCATTAAGCTAAATACTGGTAAAAGTTTCAGCATTGACAACCCTAGAGTTTGAAAAAGGTTGAAGTCTTGTTCTCAAACATGCTCACAACACATAGAGCAACAGCAGAAGCCTTTCTTGTTCTCTTCCTGCTACTCTAATCATGTCTCATTTCTGGCTAAAGATGACATCCGGGGGCAAAGAAGAATTATAACCTGTGATGCCTAGTCTTGTTTCTCTGGTGAAGCTTGCTAATGGGGATGCTAATGAAGACTGGTTATTGTGACTTGTGATGGGAGCAGGTGAGGATCTCTCTTCCTTGCTTCATGCAGGTCAGAGAGAACAAGTGTCTTACAGTGGATGTCAGTGATACTTCCTGGATTTAATCCAAGACTTTAGAGCCTTTCAGCTTTTCATAGCTCAGTAAATTTATCTACCCTTCCTACCTACTGAGATAGTAAAAGAATTACTGGTTTTAAACTAGCTGTTTAAGGTTAAAAATAGAGCAAGGAGGTAATTGCTGAAAAATGAGATAAGATCCTGTTGATTAATTTAGATGCACTTAGGAGGGTTTTGAAGTGTTGGGCAATTCCTTTGCCAAGACTTGGATGATAGTGGCTGTGTAGGGGCTCCCCTTGGAGCCCTTTGCTCTAGTGTCTTCTACACAGCTTTCTGAATCTCCTCTCACATTTGCCTGAGGAATTGAAAGCTTCAGGCTGGGAATCAACTTACTTGTGTGCCATAAACAGTGGTATTTCCCATTCTTAGAGAAGTAGAGAAATTGGTTGTTCATTGGATTTGGTTTTGGCTGCTATTTTTGGAAGCCTCTGTAACACTTGGCTTTAGGAAACCTCAAGAGGAGCAGAAGAATAGTTAAGAGTTAAAGGTTGACTACATCAGGAAAGTTAAATCGATTTTTTTTTTTTTTTTTAATGTATTCTGACGCTTTCTGCATTAGGTTTTTGGGAAGTGTTATTTTTCAGCGGCTAAAAAACAGCAGGTAGTTACTGGAGGGCTTAAAGGGGTAAATGGAAAGATTACTAGCTACTTCTTTGGATGTGTAAATTATATTCCAGCAAAATGTGTTCTGAGGTTATGAAATGAGGCAGTAAGTTGAAACTTGTTAGGAAAGTGAAATGCTGATTAATTTCTACTACCAGGATTTTCTCTCTGACATGACATGAGTAGTATTAATAGTTATGTGGCTTGTTTTGTTGGGATGGGTTCCTTATGTAGCAATAAGCATTCTGTGTTATATACATTAGTATTAGATTTGTATTTAACTGTCACTTGCTCACTAGTTATGGCTTGAGATGAGTTTTCCTTTTAGCTACATCTATACCTTTTGGTTTTTGAAGCTATCTTCTATGAAGAAATTCCTATGCTAGGACAGAAATTAAAATGATCTCTTCATCAAAATGTATTAAAACCTCTAGTTGATGGCTAGCGTCATTTTGTTTATGAAGTTGTGAGTGTGTTTTTTGCTGTGAAACAACTGCAAAATGATGTTACGAAATTCTGTTATTTTTCAGATTCACAGCTTGAATATGTTTTCAGTTTGTTAAAATTTCCAAGCTGCTAGCCAAAGTAACTCAAAATTCGAAATACCGTGCTGTGTTCCTTGTAATGCTGCCAGTAAACATGAGGCCAAAATCTGCCCTTTTGGACTCTCAGAGACTGACACCACAAAAGTTACTGCTATCAGTGAGGTTTGTGTCTTTGGGGAAGGCATTAGTTCAGCAGCGACTTGTATCAGGCATTTACTTTATAATTCTGCAGATAAGCATACTGACCTATACACCACTGTTAATAACACCACAGTGAGCTTTATATGCACGGACAGGGCAGGAGGAACATGACATGGGTAGATCTGTGAGAGGGGAAAATACGTTCTACAGCTTCCATTGCTCATGTGTTAGAGGAATTTTCAGACCATAGAAAGCAGAAAAAATAACTTTTCTCCTTTTGTCAAGAAAAGACTTGCACTTCTTTTGATTTAATTAGTTCGACTGCAGTTTCTTAGCACTGAAATGCCCAGTTGTGCAGGCTTTTGACCTACTTGATAAGTGATTTTTACGTTTAATGTAGCACCTCACTGAAGAACTTGGGAGGAGGAAGATGATATTTATCTGGACTAGATATTGAAGAACAATCTTTTTAATGTCTGTAAGCTTTGTTTCTGGCTCTGTTTTTGTGGTTACTCCAAGTAGAGATTTTTCTTTGTACTGTGTCCTTGAAAGCAGAAGGTGGTATAAAGAGTGATTGCCATGAAAGAGCTTGAAGAAGTGCCGGGTGTAATTCTCATGCCAGTTCATTACTAGCATGGGAGTTACTAACTAGGCTTCAAGATTTTTAAGCTTTGGTGTAATAGAAAAGAGCAATACTTTCTTTATGGATGTTTCCTGCATTTTTACAAACGTACACTGTTTGTGTGTCTACTGCCTGTAGATATGGCATAAGGAAATTAGCTTGAGAGAAGTATTTGAAATTACTGTACTGTGTTTAATGCCTCTGCTGCTGTCCTCTCTAGCATACAGGGTTGCAGTCCTTGTCTAGGCATACCTTCCGATTATTGAGAAATATCCACTAAAATCATCCTTGTGTGGTTAAAGAACTGTTTAAGTGACTTAAATACCTTCCATTTCTGTTAAAGGCATATTGATTTTTTTATTATTATTTTTTTTTCCTCTGCTGGGCACCTCTTACTGTAGAGTAACAGTTCAACTAGTCTGAACAGTTATGTGTGTTTCAGGATGGATTGCTGTAGTACATGCAGCAAAAAACCATGCTGAGGTGGCTCCGTGGTAAAAACTGGAGGAATACTGTAGCTTTAGGCTTCAGGTTCAACACCTTTAATTGTCGTTTATTTCCATCTCCAAGGTGTGTGTGGGGAAAAAAGCAAAGTAGCAAAGAGTGGATAGCACAAAGTGCGGTCTCTACAACTGTATTGCAGGCCATGGTATTCACTGATTTTTAGAGGGGGACATTTCTTAGCTCTTGCAGAGGCTTTAGTAGGTTTGTCTCTGCCTAGGCTGCAGTGTGAAATCTGAAGTGGGTGAAGGGAAGGACAAATAAAAACCAGCCCTTGGGAGATGTGAGAAAAGAATGAGTTGCACCCAGGATCCTAGACTGCTGCTGCCTCCAAACTTTGTGCAAAAATAAAAATGGGATTTGTGTGTCACACTGACAAGTAATGCTTATTGCTGTTTGTATGACTGTTGCTACTTCCTTGCTGCACTTAGTGTCTCCTTCTTCCAGGTCTAGGTTAGATTGTGGCTGCTTTAAAAGGAGATTTGTCTAAAGAGCTATGCACACCTATGGAGGCCTCAAAAAGGAGAGGGCAGAGGAAAGGATGAGAGGTGTCTCCTTCGTGTAGCCTGGGAGCCAGGGAAGAGGTTCAAAAATGGGGAGATGATCCAGCTTGATCTTTTCTAACTGGAATAGAAATGACATTACAGTTTCAACCCTTCTGCTTTCTTTCTTTTCCTACTCCTGTGGAGTAGTTTAAAAAGATCAGCTTCGATTTTCTCTGTCTGTGCAGCACTGGGGAAGCATTTACTTTGCATTCCCTATACAACTTAAAAGTCTGTGCTTTCCTTGAAGTTGATGATTGCACCATGAAAATCTTGATCTTAAAAATCAGCATTTCTGGTGTTTTGTTTCCTTCTTATAAACAAGACTGTTGAAAGCTCTGAGTTAACTGGGGGGATGGGAAGTGTTAGCAAGTTGATGGCTTTGCATTTTTTTTGTGTTGATAGCTACCCAGGATTCTTATGCACATCCCCATAATGTCTTTTGTGCTGTAGTTGGCTACCAAGATAAGAGGGTGAATTGTTAAATTTTTCTGGGAGAAGCTCATATAAGTTCTGAGAGAAACTGTTGAAAAGAAATAGAGGTGGATACATCTGTGTTTTTTCTGGAATGAGGTGAGAAGGTGGTAATACGTGCGTTTTGCTTTTCACCCAGTAAACTTGGCGTTAGGAAGTTGGCCTCAGGTTCGTCATCAGAAAATGTATGGTCTTGGTCCATTTGAGGTGGTCTGTGGTTTGGTTCAGTGTTTCAGTGCAATAAGCTGATAGATAGACTTTGATTCGTTACAGCTGAGCAAATACCAAATTTAACTTCGGTTTGGTCTGGATCTATGCATTCAGGTCTGAAGACAGATCAATGGTGGTAGCCTTACAGGTGGTATTTTGTTAGTCTGCTGCCTTAATAGGTGGGATATCCGGGATTAAATTTATCTGTGTACTTGGATGTAAAAGTAGTAATATTTTAGGGTGTTAAGGTACCATATTGGCAACACTCACCTTGTGCAGAGGACAAAACTAAGCAAGACAGAAGTTTCTTGGGCAGAGTGTATGCAATGTGTGCAATGTGGATGCAAGACAGGCAGCTCTTAGTTTTTCTGAGCAGTTCACTGTCCTGTGTCCACAAACATGTCACTACTGGAAACTGCTCTGAAAGCATCTCACTTTGTATGCTAAACAGTCAAGTAGAAAGAAACTGAACAGGATGATTTGAGAGCTGTAATCTACAAAGTGCCTACTTATGGATATTAAAATCAGTTAAGAATTGAATATTCCAAGTCTCTTTGGATCTTTTCTAAAAATCTCTTCTCTTGGTGACTGTTCCCAGAAGTTGTCATAAGTCTTTAGCAATAGTTTTGTAGAAACACCCTTTAAAATTTAGAAAATCATGTGTTTGAACATATGCTTTGCGCCCAAACACATTGCAGAAAATAATAGATCTAGCTTGTTTGAAGTATAAATACTTAAGAACCTTTAAGAGATCAGGAATAACTTTAAGACAAATTTTAGGTTTTATTCCCTCAAGGAGTACGTCAGAAAACTTTTAGTTCAACAAGTTAATCTCAGTGGTATTTCATATTGGTTTGAAAGACAACAAGCAATTTCTCTGTGGCAAAAATAGTTTCTGTGGAAGGGAGGAAGTATTGGACTCCATGCTGTTGCTGGTAACTACTCATTCATCTCTAATACTATCTTTTCCTGTTTATCAGTTACGGTCAAATAAAAAGGAAACAAAAGTATTTGAAATGAAACCACTTGATTTCACTGCAATTCTAAGGAGTCAGAGTTCACACAAAAGTTTTCCGGGAGTTGGAATTGCTTCAAAAAGCAGAACCAAGTCTTAACTTGAAGATTAATCAATAGATCAGTGCAAGACCATAGATGTTAACACAGAGTAGTAGAGAAGCCTTAGGTGAGAGGCTGCATTGTGTTTCACGGGTCATTTAATATTTTAAGTGTGTTTGTACCAATATGCAGATAAAACAGTATTATCCAAAAAGCTGCACAGATTTAAGCTTTAAAAAAAAAAATTAGATACAGTTTTTAAAATGGAAACTGACAGTTTTCCCTCCCTCCCTCCTCCACAACTTGCAGACGTTACTAATTTTGTAAAATTTAAAATACCCAAGCTTCTTGTCTTCACCATTAGGGAAAATAATTGTTGCTGACAAATGTGGAAATAAATGTACTGTGAGGAGCAAATACTGTCGCTGGTATGCTCGTGATTCCCATCCATGTCAAAGCTTGTTGCCTCTTTGAGCTGTTTTAAATGATAGTATTTTTGCTCTTTTGCTTAAAGCAAGCTTCTGCTTTGTAATGATCTGCTGTGTTAATGTTGCTCGGCACAGGTTACTTTAAACGACAACTTTAAACGTGACTTATTTGGTAATTTTCCTAAGCTTACTTAAATGAACTAGAACTTATGTCAAATCAGAAATACTGAATTTTCTGTAACCTTTTAAATGTATTCTGTTGAAATAGTACTATGTATAGCCTGATGAGACTAATGCAGTGGTTGTTAGATGTTTATGCATCCTTTTTCTCCTTTTCCTTTCTTCTCCAGTTCCACTCTTATCCTGGGGACCTAGCTTCAATTTTAGTATCTGGTATGTTGAACTTAATGGCATTGATGATCCAGATGTGGTCCAACCGTGCCTCAACTGGTACAGCAAGGTAGGCCTGCATTTTAGATGTCTGTTTGAAGATTTATAGTCTCAAAAATCTTGTGAAACTTCTCTTACTGGAATTACGTGACCTTTTCATTCCTTGAATATCAGCTATTAAAACAACAAACACGCACAGTTAAAACGCAAACCACATGGCTGACTTTGACTCAAGTGAATCTTTTTGAATTGTTATCTGCTTGGTCTCTTTAAAAAAAAAAAAGACAAGAGACCCCCCCAAAAACCCCAAGCCACCACCACTAAAAAAAACCCAACAAACAAACCCCCACCCAAAAAACCCTACAAGAAAAAGCCTGCTATGTAGACATCACAAGAAAAATATAAAAGAAAGGAACACTGAGTCAAACAGGACAGTATTAGTAAAATCGTATTTGTACTGGAAGGGAAATGAACTTAACAAAACCAGATTTCATTTCTCCCTCTACTTGCCTTTTGATTAGTCATTCTTTTACCATACCAGTCTTTCTGTAGAGCTATATGTGAGCCTAGAGCCTTTTGGGTTATATATGCAACTTTTGTTAAAGGGTATAAAAATGAGCTTGTTCTAAAGAGAATCCATGTTGGTGTCTTTCCTGTTGCTGCTCCTTGCACCTCTGATGTTTCCCTCTTACTGTCTTTTTGCCGAGTACTCTGGAACAGAAGGGAGCTGATGCCACTGGACTGTGAGATATGCCATTTGTCACTCTGATAGACAGAAAGTTCAAAGAGTTCTAAACATTATTTGTATAAACTGTATTTGAGTACAACGGATGCCTCTTCTGTGGGAGGGAAGTGCACATTGACAACCAGAATTCATTTTGTTGCTGCTTTTTATGCATAGATCTTCTGGAACAATTAATGAAATTCATATTGTGTTGCAGAGAAGACATCTTTCCCAGCTGAATAAGACTGAGTAGTGGAACAGTATATCTGTGCTTCCAGAAGGAAAAACTTAAAGGGGGATAAAGATTGTGTGTGGTAATAGTAAGACTCCTTCACCAGTTTATGGTGCTGCCAGTGTGGTAAAGAAACCTTGTGGCCATGCTATCTGGCTCATACGTGTTTATACCAACACCACAACCTTCTTCATGGAGGATTTAAGAACAGTACTAACAGTCACAGTGGAAGTTGTCTGTAGCTGCTTTATGATTAAAGTGATACTGTGGTTGTCTGCTGATTACTGATGTCCAGTTCTGAAAAGTCTGGTTGACAGAGGCTGCTGATGGTTTTCTGTTTTCTTTCTGCTGCCTCTGCACATGGTGGTCTCACTGGCTTTTTTGACCAGTTGCTGCAACTAGGAAGCTCTGATTTTTATATTTTTTTGGTCAGGAGCCATTTGATGATGATGTCAGCATCTGTTTTGTTCCATCTTATTCCACGGAATCAACACTTCTCATGGTCAGCATGTATGTAGTGACAGCTGCTTCAAGGGGTGCCAGCATTGTTCTTCTAAAGCTTAGAGCCCTAAAGCAGCGAGGCAGAGACTTAGTCATGATTGTTTGGGCTCTACTAGGATCAGTTGCCAAGTTTTTGGTGATGAGTGCATGTCTCACTGATGTTCTCTCTCGCAGTCCTGAGAGGCCGCTGTTGCCGGATCCACATAGGAGGATATGTGTTGACCCATATTTGGGGAAAGGCAGAAGGGTTGACCTGTTTCTTCCAGTTCTTTGGGATGGTGTGAATATTCTCATGCATGTTCTTGGAAGTCTCAAAGGCTTTGAAATGTAATAATTCTTTACTGCCTGAGACATCAGATGAGAAGAAGGTTCTACATGAAGTTGCCCATCCTTTTTGTCGTGTGTGCTTCAACCAACAAAACCTCTTTCCTGAAGGGAGTGGAGTTGGGGGTAACAGATAAGGACTCGAAGCAGCAAGCGTGCTCCTCAGTGCCCTCCCTACTGCTTTCTCTTTGCTGACCAGCTCAGCCTACTGCCTCCTGAAAGCCTTAACCACTTTGCTTTTACTGAAGAGTGGGCATACTTTAGCAACTGAGAAGTGGCAGTTTATCGATGGCTATCACTTTTGGTTTTGATAATGAACACTTAAATATTTTTAATTCTGCTAGTGTATTTGACAGTGTTAATATCTCAGACTCATGATCTTGTTACATTTTTAACCATAGGAATTATTTACAGCTTCAGATCAAAGCTATTATTTGGGTTGTCATCTCTTTAAACCTGTATGACAGCTTTTAAAAAGGAGCCTTTTATATACTTTTATACATCTTTTTGCATAAAAAAAAAAGTTTTAACATTTAACTTCTGAAGTACTACTATGGTGTCACTTGAATACAAACTTTTATATTGCATCGAGTGGCTAACCTGCGTTCAACAGTAATTTCACGTTTTATAAGCTAAGCTTATCAGTCATGAGAGGCTCAATGGAAATACACCAAGTCTGAATTTTGTCTAATGTCTAAACTAGAGGAGCTGGAAGTGCAGAAGCTGGTTATTACTGGTGTGCAGCTATCCTTTTGCTTACTATCCCTTTGAGCAACAAAGAATCTAATGTGGTTTTGGCCTTGACTGATGTAAGTGAATATTTGCTTAAAGACAATGTTTTGGGTATCTCTTAGAAAGAAAAAAAAAGTTTTTTTTTCTAGTTGTGCTGTAAAACTCTTTCAGCTTTAGTATTCCTTTACTACAGTCTTGCGTTTTTATCAGTACTTGTCCTTGGCCTTTTTCATGTGGGCTGGGAACTGATTTTCTAAAAATGCATAGTTCTGGCTATTTGCAGCTGTGAAATACTGATGGATTAAGAACTAAAAATATAGCACATGGCCGTGTTTCTTTTTAGCTGCTTCGGTTTATGAGATTCTTGCTATAGAGCCATTATTTTGAGAGCACTAATTTTTGTTGAATGTCAGTGTTAGTTCTAGGTTTTCAGAAAGATTCTATTCATTTAAATACTATGAACTTCACTTTTAGCAGTGGTGTCCATTTAGTAGTAAAATCTTTTGTCTGTAATTTGATCAGTCTTATAGATGCTTAAAGGTACACTTGCTTTTTACCAGAGTAGATGTGTGTTGAAGATGGAAATTGAGATTATTTTTTTCTTTAATGCCATAAAACTTAGGTTTGAAGAGTCTATTTAAAATGAGTGGTTCTGCTACTTAACAACTTAAAAATCTGTGTTACTTATGCATATTGTTAACAGCTTTGAAAATGCAGTGGATGATTTGATAGGTTAACAGCACAAGCTGTAGCTCCTATGAGTTTACTATTCCCTCATGTTTCTGTGCCTGGATGTTTGACCCAGCGTGGGTTTCTCTAGCCATTCTCACGCCTTCCCACAGCTGAGTGGGAATGGGCAGCTTTGGTTCATCTGCGGTATGAAAGCAGGGGTTCTGCTTCAAGATGCATAGGAAAATTTTGAAAGTAGAACTTTGGCATGCCTGTAAATCCTTGCTGCCATTGATCCGAAACCCTTGCGAACCCGCAGGATTTGACTTCTGCCTTTCTGTTGCTGAAGCGGTGGTCATTGCAAGTATTCCTATTCTTGTGGTTTTTTTTTTCTTCTGCTTCTAGAAAAGCTGTGACCTACTTACTCTTCTAAATTATTTTGTTATGTAAGAGTCATACAATCAAATTATGTAACGCTGATAGCGAAGGCTTTTTCCTGCTCTGTACTTCGTGTAGGCCTCGAACAGCAGGGCCAAGCAGATGGGGGGGAAATAATGGTCACTCCAGAGATCTGGGACACTGTGCACTCTCTTCTATGCTTATTAAATTGGATGATACCAAGTTGTATAATTTCTATACTATTGGAAAGTAAATGCCTGCACAGCTTTTAATGTCTTTCATATAGTGTTCCTCTGTAAGCTCATGAGCAATTTATGTGCAGCATGTGTAAGAGATCCTGCTTCTGTCTCCAGGAAGGTTCACAGGTAGTCCCCAGCAGTGCTGGTAAAAGAAAAATCTACATGTCTCATAGGTTTTCTTGTGTTCCAGTAGTACCGTGAACAGGAAGCCATTCGCCTTTGCCTAAAGCATTTTCGTCAGCACAACTACACTGAAGCTTTTGAGTCGCTGCAGAAGAAAACCAAGATTGCTCTGGAGCACCCTATGTTGACAGACCTGCATGACAAACTGGTGTTGAAGGGAGACTTCGATGCTTGTGAAGAACTGATAGAAAAAGCTGTCAATGGTAAGAGAATCAGAGGGATCTGCTATGTTAATTAAAAAAAAAAGTATTGAAATCTTACTGCTTTTAATGTAGTTGTACTTAGTGGTGGAATTGGCTAGTCCATGTACTATTTCATATCTGGTGTGGTGTACTGTAGGCTTTTGGACTTGTGAGTGTGTGTATGATGAAGTCTAAAAGTTCAGTCATGAAATCTCTTGTTGCTGCTGCTTTTGGAGTCTCTTTCCCCTGGAGATGGCAATGTGGTGCACTTGAGCGGGTAAAGAAAAGTTCTTCATGTAAGTGGCTGGCAAGCTGAAGGTGGGCTTAACTATCAGAAAAGTCACTGGAGTGGTGAGCAGGGAAGTATAAAACCTGAGTTCTCAGTAGTGATCTGCATCATGGTTTCTGGTTAGAGCTTACCGCCTAGTAGGTGTTTCAGCAGTTTTTATCTGTATTTGAATGAGAATGCTGTCTTTGCTTGTGGGGAAAATAGACCTTGGAGAATGGTGTAGAAGTCACAGTGACTGGAGGCAGAGCCTGTTTTCCCTTGCAGAGCCAGGCATTGGCAGCTGGTTTCATTGTAACTACTATTAATTCTCTACTTGGAAGCTTTCAACTTAGAAGCTCTCCACCCCTAAAATGGGGGAGATGCACCTTCTTTTGTTAGAATGGGATACAAAAAGAGTCAGAATATTGCACTTAAGTGTCTCCCAAGACCTGTGCAGTGATTTTGGGTCACAGTCTGATAAACAGAGGTGGTCTTGGCTGTGAGTGTAGTGCTTCGCTCTTTATGGGAAACTTGTACTGGCGTAAGAAGAGAACCTTGTGTCTGATGCCAGTAGTTAGGGGCTTAGTGGACCCATTTCATGGATGTGTGGCGCCAGAGATGTTTTTTTCCTAATTCTGTGCTAATCAGTCATTTTGTGATACTTTTTGGGTAGATGCCAGTGTACCTGCTTGACTCCTTCAGTGTGATTTGTACCACTAAAGTTGGAACTGGTTCTCAGGATATGATAGAAATGATAGCTTTCAAATCAAGGTTTGTCTTCCATGAAAACCCACAATCTTTTTGTGAATAAGCTGTTCAACTAAGCAGAGCATTAGGGAGCTTATTGCAACATGTCATGAAAAACTGCAGTAAATGGCTTTCTACGGGTTTTGGCTCAAGGTTTCTCGACTATATAGATAGAACAGCTGAGCTCTGCCCTGCGTTGAGCTTCCTGAGCAGCTACAAGCATTGAGGTGGAATTGCCAGTGTTCATCCTCGCCCTCCTGAGTGTTGCCTGCCCTCCTGAGACAATGTAGTGTTGTTGGCTGGGATGGGAGCATGAACAGCTTCCTGCAATGCAGGGGCATTTTGCAACTGGCAGCTTCCTCCTGAATCTTAAGGGCGAGGGCGGGTTGCAGGATGAAAAAGCAGCAGGGAGCTGTGGCTGGCTCTTATTGTCTTTGCAGTGTTTCTCAAAGACATGAGTGTCTGGGGGGAGCTGATGAGCCCACCAATGTGAGGCAGGATCTGCTGAGAGCCAGAGGAGTACTATGTGCTGATGGTGATGATTTTATCAATGCGTTGGTCTCCTGCCTTGGCTGTGGCTTAATCTTGTCAGTGCCTAGAGGCCGTCCTCTTTCCACTTCATTGCAGGCTGTAGTAGAAGCTATTTCTTGAATGGAATTTTTCTAGAAGTCTAGAATGTGCTGAAAAAGTTCCCTCAGAAATGGACTTTTTTTTTTTCCTTGGGCACTAATGAAGTGAGTGTTTGTGGCCTCATTTTTTGAGCTGTTACATATTAATTTCTTCTACTACTTAATACTGAACGTACTGCTTTTATTCTATCCAGCAGTTTTTGCCTAGGACTTGAGCTGAGGTGGTGTTTCTGTTTCCCCTGGTATGTTGAGAGTGGGGTTGATGTCTGCAGTGCTCAGCTTTTCCAGGTGTGAAAGTACTGGCAAAGGACTTGCCTGCTAGAAGACTGTAGGTCTTGTATTGTACCATCTGACAAACAGGCACTTGCTGCTTGTTAGATTTGATGTGAAAAATCCTGCTTCCCTGGTTCTTGTAATCATGTCCCTTTTTGGAGGCAGAGGAACTTGGTGTCACTTAAGCAAACTAGGGAAATGTGTTGTAGCTTGTTTTATTAGTCCTTTTCTGTTCCAGCAAGTACAGAAGCAAGCATTTCTAGTAACAGGTAGTGGATAACTTAGCAGGAGAGTCTTCAAGTAGCATCATTAAGTTTTGTCACTGCTTCTGAGGGACAGAATAATATGCATGAGGATGTTTATATTGCTTCCTTTTAATCTGGCACCTGGCTAGCTGAAGTTAAATGTCAGTGTATGCATCTCCCATTGCTCTGTTGCTCATCCTTAATGATTTTGCTTGTCTTTGAATATATTAACCTTCCTTCCCCCATCCTTCTGTAATTCTTTATGCTGTCTTCAGCTTTTGTACCCATTTAAAGCTCTGTCACCTCCCAGCACCCTTCGGAGAGAAGTGCTATCTGTCCCGAGACACTGAGGCTGTATCTCATATTTGCTTTAAGCTGACACAACTGCGGGTTTTTACTAACTGGGTCAATCCTGCCCTTACTCAGGACAGTGTGTCCCCTGGCCCCTCGTTTGCTGGCACTGGTGCTCGTACTGCCACATGGCAAACCAGGTCAGGGAGCTGATCGGGCTACGATGGGGGAGAGGATAGCCTCAAAAAACCTGAAACTGCAGCTGGAATAGTTTGTCTGGAGTTGTACAAGATGATAGTCAAGTCAGGGTGTTGAATGTAGCTGGTATTTAACAGCTGGGTCCTTCTTCTTGTAGGATGGGAATACGTGTTTTCAGCCTTCAACATGTCCTATAGTATTGCTACCGTCTGCTCCCTGTGGTCCTCCACAGTTACCTGTCTTTACTCAGTTCTGTATCTCTCTCAAAATCCTCTTTTTTTAAGAGGCTTGTTAGCACCCAGCATTTTACCATTTTATTTTCTTAGCAGCTTTGTTGTGAGTGAAGTCTCTATAGCTTGCTGCTTAGTCTCTAAGGTGTGGGTGTTCTTACGACTGAACTCCTCTCTGATGTGTTGTTTTTCCAAATAAAAGCAGATTAACTTTAGTCCTGTGTATGGTCCATGTAGTGTACTTGAAGTGTAGAGTTAATTGAGATATACAGATCCTTAAATTATCCCTGAAATTGTTCAAAGAGCAAACTGTTCTGTAACAGACTGGACATGAATATGTGAACTTCTGACCTCTTGCTGATCTGAGAGTTCATTGCCTTAAAGGAACAAACAAGTGCAATGAGGTTGACAGAGATACTGCATACTCGGTTCAGCCTAAAATGTCTTCTGTAGAGGCTAATATTTGCAGTGGTAGGTATTTAAAAAGTGAAATGCAATGCATCTCTCGCAGGTTATTTCCATAGGCTTAGTCATGTAGAAAAAGAGTAGGTGGTCAAGAATTAGTGCTAGCAGAGCTAACTCTTGTTCTTTTGCATTGCTAATGATGAACGCTGTCTTCCACCTCACATCACCAGATGATTTCTTTTGAGAGCTCAGTGGCAGGCAGCCACACTTTTCCCGCAGATTCTTTTGACTTGTGCATTACACTTAGAAAATGGGCAAATGGAAACTCTGGCAGCTGCCTGACTTCCTCTCAAAAATAAAAGGTTCCCTAAATCTCAGCTGGTTCACAGACTTGGTTCAAATGCTTCACATTTGGATTCATTCCTATAGCTTTCAGATGGCCTATATTATTGAAGAAAAAATCTGCTTAATATTCCTACAGAGAGTATGTGGAGTGCAGATTATTTAGTTGAACTGTTTGCAGCTACTGTAGACATAGAAAGCTCCTTGAAATGGATTGAAGATCTGCTAGTTTCATTTTAGTGTTCTGGGGACCAAGGTGTTCCTTCTGGGCAGTTCTTGTGTCAGTATGTGATACGTTTTTATCTGTTGACAAGTTGGCCCTGGATGACAAACAAGAAGTTGTGATGCACAGCCTGCAGGCTCAAATGTCTCCCAAAGCTTGGGATGCACAGGAGCAGTTGCAGTCTCCTGGAATCTCTAGACAGACATGTATACCTTAATTTTACCATCAAATGTGTTTGGATTCGGTTCTGAGAAAGTATGGACGCTGGCTTGCTGCTCTGTAGTACTGGGATATATGGAGGGGAGAGGCTTGCTAGGGATCCAAAGCCTATGGGTAAGTTGGTGGTAGGGTTTGTGTAGAAGCAGCATATATTCTAGGGATTTGAAGGTAAACCTTGTTTTGTATTTGTTAAGAAGAAAGTACAAGAGAATATTACAGCTTTGAGGCTGGAAAAAATTGTGTGTTTCCTTGTTGCTCCCATGTCTTGAGGAAATTGTGGAGTAATGGCTGGATTTTTATCTGGTGTCATCTTTGTTTTCTGCTTCAGCTTTTCTTTAGAAGGATTTTTGTGACTATAAAACCCTCAGTCTGTTTAGGTGTTTTGGGTATTTTTCTTTGGTTCAAGAAAAATCTTAAAAAAACAAACCCCAACACCCAGAAATTATGGGTTAAATGCCACTCTGAAGTTTTTTCAGCCATTGGCAGTGAAGTGAATAGATTTTCGTAATCCTATCTAAAGATGTGTGTTGTCTAAAAAGAAACTTAATACAACTTTTACTTGTTCCTGATTGGCTTCAGCAAGTTAAATATTTTTGTCCGCAATGTTTGTCTTAGTCCTTTCTAGGTAACCTGTAATTGGCCGACAAAATAAAGGCTTCGTTTATCAGGGAGGTTGAATTTACTAAGCTTTAACCACTGTGAACTTCATGTTGTTACATCCAAAATGCGTCACAACTTGCTTCGAAGGGCTTGAAAATAGTACAAAATAAAAGTACTGGTTTTGGCTGTAATTTTAGAGCGTAAACATGGACATCGAAATGAGAGGCCTCCGGAGTGAAAGAAAAGACTTGCTTTAAAAACTTGCACATAAGACTTTTTTTTTTCCTACAGGATCCTTGAAATTTAGTTTAAACTACTGATTCATTTGAAACAGCTGACAAACCTGAGCAGGCCTAGATCTGATCTCCAGTGCCTTGCAGAAGCTTTGGAGACCTTTTGGTCAGCAGTGCTATCCTGGCATGAAAAATAAGGAGTGTGCTAGAACAGGTCTGGCATTGGATACAGAATCCACCTAGAAATCCTCCTTTTTTCCCCTGGTGGTGTCAGACAGGTGGTGATTCAGCTTCCAAAACAAGCTGCTGCTGGTTTGCAGTGCAAGTAGAATGAATGTGGAACTGCTTCCAGCAGAAAGAAACATTTCTGGGAAGCAAGTTGGAGTATTTCCAAACCAATGTCCCATGGAAGACAAGAAGCATTATTAAAAGAGGCTGAAGGCACAGTAGGGGAGAAGTGTCATATCTTGACAAGTGCAGCCTGTGGGTGTTGAGCATGGGAGAGAGGTTAAATCACCCTTTCAGATCGTATGTGGTGTAATTCATCCTGTTGAGCTATTTATGTCCAATTATCTATTGGCTGCCATAGGGATAAATACAATTTTGCATTCTGTCTTGAAGACCGAACGCTCTAATGATAACCAAAAGGCTGGATTTCTGTCTAGGTTTGTGGCTAGAAAAATCTGCCTGAGTCAGTATGGGATTTCTTACAGCGCATGCATTTGTTCTGTTGGAAGTTGGCTTTTCTGAATCAGAATTCATGAAATCTCACGCTTAAAGCCTCTCATGTCTTGTCCCAACATCATAAATGCTGAAGAAGTGGGAGTTAGGAACCCTACTCATATAACCAAAATAAACCACTTTTCTACATTCGTTGAGCAAACTTTTGGCTTTCCTCAATTACCTAGTGCTAGGAGAGAGCTGATGTTTTTGGCTTGAAGACAGGTGAAAGTAAAATCTGCCCTGCTTTCACAGAGTATTTAATTTGAAAAACTTGCAGAGTTGAATTTATGGAAGTTGAAAGCAGTTTTGTATTTTAAGACCAAATTCAACACCTTTCAGGAGCTCTTGAGTGTCCTTATTTTCCTATTAGATGGTCTCTAGAGTATTCATCTTCTCCCAGGAAGTATTTGCTGGCTTCAGTTTTTAATTAAAATCTGGATTTCAGTCACGACAAACTACAGGATGCCAGGAAACATTTTAAAGTATTATCTGAACTTTGTGTCATGCTTAACAAAGATTTTACCTTTTTGTAAATAAATAGGGATGTGTGCAATAAGGCTTATTCTTTTTTGTTTGTATGCCTACCAAGGGATTTTCTATAAATAAATGGAGGCATTCCTAATCTGTTAAATTCTTACCTCAAAGCTGCAATTACTGGGATTGGAAGAACTAAAAAGTATTAGATGCAACTTAGTAATTTCATTTTTCCTTTCTCTGCTGGGGAATGTAAAACTGATTCCTGAGCAATTTTGCTGAGTACCGTTCTACCAAAGAGCATAGCTGTTGAGTATTACGTGATTTAGGACTCCCGAATGCATCCTACATCTGAGTGGTGTATGTGCAATGTATTGTTTCAATACAAAACTGTCTAAATCTATCATTTGAGTCCTCAATCTGCCTGTGGTAGTTATCACTGTACTAGTGATGTAAACTGGGTGTCAGAACTCCCATTTTTTTATTTCAGGTAATGCATAAATGTGGAAGAAATGCTTGTCATGAAGAGCTTGTATCTTGAGATGGTGGGGTAATGGGTGGCCAATGGGTGGTGGGGGTAAGAGGTTGGCCGTTGGTGGTCTAATAGTTCATTGTGCCTGCAGAAGGTAAGGGACATTTTTAGAGGGGACATTTGAAGAACAATAGCAACAAGTTCCCCAAATGCTTGCCAAGCCCTTCCCAGACTGAAGAGTGGTCCCAGAGAGCATGCGTGTTCTGAATCTCCTTTTCAAAAAATTAACATTTATGTGATAGACTGATACCGTGTAACCAGAATTAGGAACTGACCTCTGGACGCTGAAGAGATGAAATGTGGTAGATGTACAGAGGGAGAAAGATAGGCATAAGGGGAGCTTGAGTAGAGTGCTGGAGTTAATGCTTCTTACAGAAATGATGCAGTTGGCATATCTGGCCAGTGACCTAACGCGTCTTCTGTTTCTCTTCTTTCTTAACTCTCTGAAAAGAATGTAAACTATTAGTTTGTTTTTCATTCAGTGCTTGGTTGTCCCGTATCGTAGCTTTTAAACAATCTGCTTTTTTTCCCTTTTCTTCTTAGATGAAGCTCCAGAGATGCTGCCTGACCTGGTTTTAACTTAAAATGTACTAAAATGGTTGGATTTTACATGCACTCGCAACTTTCCTTTTGCTTAAATAAGGGGGGGAGGGATTCTGTTCTTAATTAAATACACCACACTGGAGATTTATAGACAATTGGTGTGACCTGGCAGGCAAACTGGGTAATTCTTGATTGATCAGGTAATGAGTATTCTTTTTATTTTAGTGTGTACACATTCAGTTCATTAACAAGTTTAACAAACTAACTGACATATATAGAGAATTTACTGAAAATAAAGGCTTTGGAGTAGCATACTGGATTGTGTTAGGCTGAAGTTACCTGCATTAAAAGTGATTTTGCTGTAATGGAAGTATAAACATTTCATCCTGCAAAATTTTTGTTTTGCAGATGGCTTATTCAATCAGTATATCAGTCAACAAGAATACAAACCTCGCTGGGGGCAGATCATCCCCAAAAGCACCAAAGGTAAGGACATTTCTTAAGATATAACTCATGTACTGCTAGCTCTATCTTGTTCCTTTGAGGATATTGAGCAAGAAAATGATGCAAGAAAGCTTGCTCTAGGACAGTTCTAGGGAATGGTTTCATCTATGAAAAATTTGCATTTGTCTGCAAAGTCAGTGAAATGCAGCCTGGTTTGTGGTTGAGTGAAGAACACTACAAGAACACTAGCTGAAACTTCAAGGATAGCTAATCAGTTCAGAAACAAATCTCAGAATATAGGTTAAGCATGAGAGCAGTTACCTGTATGGCTGGTTTTAATGCACGGAGTCAACTTAAATGTACACCAAAGAGTGGCAAATGAATACATTATCTTAACAGGGAGTACTTTAAATTTGAGATGCATCTTTTGGAGTCTTGGTCTGTTGTACAGTAAATCTAAACTGCAGGATCTTTTTCCATTGCTCTCTGCCTTGAGAGGAGACTTGTAGCCTTAAGTACAGAGTACAAAAATCACTGTCATGCAGCAAATGTAGGATTCAGCGTGACAATTGCCAAACGTGTAGCACTGTACCCAAACCTCTTGGGAAGGGTTATCTATGAATACAAGCAGATTTCTTTTCCAGCACCATAAGGGTTATCTTTCTAATGTTGCTTCCCATAGACGACACCTGTCCTGAGTGCTTAAGATATCTAAAGTGGTTGGAAAGCTGCTTTAGTTGGACAGTTGGAATTCCCTTACGTGAGAATTTGTAATTGGTGCAAAGCTAGCTATGCTGTATCTATACCATTGCCTCTTTGCTTTCATCCTATGGGTACATTGTCATTTGTGTATCTGTTTTCACTGCTTAGCCTTCAGGCAGCTCTCGGGTGGGGAGAGATGGAAGGGGAGCAAAAGGTTGTCTGTGTCCTCACTGCTGGAGAGCTGCAAAGATAGCTCAGACCTCAGTTATGTGGACCTGCATGCTTTGGGAATTCTCAAGCTTGAAGCCTCTCAGAGTTGCAGTAGAGTACTGTATTTGCTTTAGCTATCTGTACTAGCAGTCACCAGATAATTCAATGCAAAACTGTACAGTTTTATAATGCACAGAAGAATACCACGTGGAGAAACTGTTGTGTTAATGTTTAAAGAATGATGAGTTATTAAGTTGCTCTGCTTCCCTATAGTATTTAGGACATATGTGAGTTTGTATCTTTCTTTGGTTTGAAAAAAAATAATCTTATAATGGAAAACTTTCCCCTCCCTCTTTTTTTAAAGGTGATGGGGAAGACAGCCGACCAGGAATGAGAGGTGGCCATCAGATGGTTATAGATGTTCAGACAGGTGAGCAGTTGTTAAATTTCTTAACTAACTTATTTATCTGAAAAACATCTGATTAAATAATTATGCAAATGAGTTTTTCTTCAGAGACTGTCTTAACTTTAGGTTTTGAGGAAAAAATTGCACTTTCTAATAGTTGATTAAATACTCTGCCATGTCTCTGGAACTATACTCCAACTGTCTTTCCCACCCCCTTCTTCCCTGTTAGTTCTCTGTTACGCCTTAATCATTGTCTTGTCTTAACTAAGAAACCAAGAACAATTGTCTTTAATTTTTTGCCCCTCCTACCCTCTTTGAGCAGGAGCTTAAACAAGAGAAGAGAAATTAGTGATGATAATTTCCCTTATTGGCTACATACTATGCTCTTTGGAATAGTGCTCCAGCAATAGATCTGATGTGTTGAAACATTCCTTGTATTTTGGTTGGAGTGGCTTCTAATTGTGTGCAAGAAACTCCTGTTAAATGTAACTTGTTAGACATTTTTTACAAAAATGTTTTCTATAGCAGTTTAAAGAATGGTTCAGTCTCAGTTTCAAAGAGCCTGCAGAGAAATGAAAGCGGGGGAGGGTATAAGTAACAGTTCCAGTGATTGTTGTTCTCCGTAATTTTCTATCTCTTTGTCTTGCTTTTATTTAATCAGATTTCTGTGGTATGTCATTCCTTACTGAAATAAGGAATGCATCTGCGTGCATCTTTGCTCAGTCAGTGATTTGTATGAGTAAAAGGATTGTTCTTTGGAAAGGAGAAACGAGATCGGGGTGTGAGTAGCATAGAGGACTATAGGGTGGCATTGAGGTAGTTGGCAAAAAATTACCATGTCCTTATCTGTTGTGGTCATATGGATGGGGACTGAAGCATGTGACAGGATAGTACCTTCAAGAGTAATTTGCTAAGTCATAGTGAACAAGCAGAAATGGAGCAGTAGCTGCGGTCTGGCTTTTACTCAGTGTAGTTGCTGCTCTAGAGGAGGCACTAGGAGTTATTTTGCATGTGAAAGCAAACTTTTTTTTTTGTCGAAGAGGTTTGAGTTTCATTAGAATAAGAGCTGCTGGAGGATTGCTGGTGTTTGCCTACAAAAGAAGCTGTGAACGCTCCCTAGTGGCCTCGGCGAATAAGTAGACAGTGACTGTTTCACAAGCATGCCGAAGAAACATGAGGATTGTCAACTTGGAAGTGATAGTCCTCTAGACCTCCTGAAAATAATATATTCATGGTAGTGTGAGTCTTCATTTCTGCTCCTGTTGGTTTTCTTAAGTCCTAGTAAGCTTATTATCTCTGCCTTTGACTTAAGTTTTCACTCTGCTTTAACAAGGCAGTAAAAAGCATTGGTTATCTTTTTTACTTGCACAAAACTGGAGAGCACCTACAGAGGTAGAGTCCCAGCGTGGGGAAAACTGGATCTCCCTCTGTGACGCAAGTCCTTTCTTGCTGCAGCCCTATCCAGAGGTGGCAGGATACCTTCAGAAAGTTTCTGTGGGATATTTGGGAAGTTGCTCTTAGTTTTGCTTCCGGGCCTGCTGAGCCTTGTAAAAGTGTAAGTGTTTTTGAGATTGTCAGTTTTGCCATTTAATTTGGCTCGTGAACAGGCCAGGGGAGGTTCTTGGTGCTGTTTATTCTTAAAACCAGCTGCTGATGGTTGCTTGAGCTTTACTTTTGAATATATGTAGTGTTTAATGAGACTGTGGGAATTTAGCCAGTTATGTAAGGATGCGTTTTACAGACTGGAGCTTTAAAGCTCCCTGGCTAATCTTGAGCAAATCTAGTGTTAATGGAAAAAGGAGCAGCGGCGTACTCTTTCCTTCAAAGACATCGTCCCGTCCTTACCCACACGCTTATTGAGTTGTTTTTTTCAGAAGTCTTTGGCAACTGATGAAAAATAAGGTCACTTTGCATTCCTTGTTAGAGGGGTGAAGTCCTTTTAAAACAAATCAATATTTTCTTCAACTTTAATATTTTAGAAATGAAGTGAAACACCAAAATCACACATATAAGGAGGTTCTGAAGTTTCATACCACATAGAATAGGTGTTGGAAGCAAATTTTAATCTGTGATGTCCAGACCTGCTGTAGCTATAACTGAACTATAAATGGTTCTGCTTTTTGATTAACCTCAAGGAAATGTTAACCAGTTATTACTCACTACAAAAATGTAATTTTATTTTTAATAAGTTTTGTGATAGTACTGAGCCTGCTGGGTGCACCTGTGTTAGTGTTAGGATAGAGGATACAGATTGGTAAGCAGTTGAGCTAGACCTCAAGTTACTGATAGTGCGCTGAGTCACTGAGACTCTGTTTATGCTTTAAGTTTCAGGTAGAGTATAGTTTAACTTGGTCTAAACTGCCTTTTAGCATGTTTTATCTTCCAATTAGGGTAGGCTGAAAGTAACTGAAAGAGCAATTCTGGCATCTCTGCTGGCAACTGTAACTTGTGCTGTAGCTCACTTCCATCTGATGTTCATGCTCTTAATACCTGCTGCAGCTATCTCAGATTAAGGGTAGTGTTCTTAGTGCTTTGAAAAACTCTTAAAGAAGTTTGAACTGAAAGTGTAGGCATTTTGGGATACAGAACTGAGAATGCAGCCTGATATCTTCCTATTAAAAAAAAATAAAATTGGGAGTTACTGATCCTCAAAATGTCTTCCATGCTTTTAATCATATTAACACTCAGACTGGAGTGACTCTGGATGGCAGAATTAGGAAGTTGGTTTTGGTATGCATGTGCAGAAACATTTACTAAGAGGCATTCCTGGTTATAGTTGGAAACCACTGTTATGTACTTTAAAGCTGTAGACTGTAAACGAAAACAGAAGGCTTATGTTATTTCTGCTTTTTCCTGCAAGGTCCATGACTTTTGTAGTTCTCCATATGGAGAACTGGAGAGTTTTCTGCACTTCTCTACAAGGAAAGGGAAGTATTTATGTAGTAACAATCCAGGGGCGTAGATTAAAACAAAAGTATCCCCAAAACACCAAATGTGAAAACAAGCCCAAAACTACAGAAGAACATAATGTGTTAAGTGTACTGAATGTCAGTCATGAAAAAACTATACTGCTATTTATGTAGGCCCTGGTGAAATATTCAAGCAATAAAGCGCAGGCTTGTATGTACTGTGTACATACTGTACCGTGTACTTGTACTGTGTTCCCAGATGCATTAAGCCCTGGTGCAGTTTTGGACGAGGATGTGGGCATCTAGCACTGGTACCTTGATTAACGTAACTTTGATTATGCCCTCTCAGGGCTTTCTATAATTCAGATATGGCATGCATTTTGAAATACCAATGCTTATTCTGGAAGAAAGTGGGAATGGATAAGTTGATTGCCAAATTCAAGTTTTAAGAAATAATGTTGGTACTTCAGATGAATGTGTGTACTGTGTCTTGGAGATGTGGTTTATAATTCCATAGCTGAGGTGGAATTGATCTCCTGTGCTCTTACAGGGCAGACACAATTTTGTGTGAACAACAGTGTAGTCCATAAAGCCATACAATTTATTTTGGTAACAGAATTATAGACCATAAAGAAATAATTCTATTTAAAAAAAAAAAAGAATTTTTTGTGGTTATATCCTGTTTGTTTAAACATTCATCTTTCTGAAGTTTTCTGATGAGCCTGTTCTAGAAATAATAGCTAAGCAACCAGGATGATTTTTTTTGGTTTGCATTTCTCTTCTCTTTGGCAAGTGAAACAGTTTTTGAAGAAAAATGTTAGAGAAATGGTCTTTATTGTTGTGTTACCTCTGTTCACTCACTGGAGTGAAACTACTCTATAATTTTGGTTGTAGATCATTTTGCTTTTCCTTTCGTAGGAGGGAATTCTGTTTACTTCATTCTGTTAGATAAGTGAGAACAAATCTGTAGGCTGGGAACAGTGGGAGATTCAGAGCAGTGGGCCCAGTGGGCCCATGGTATATGTGGGCAACCCAGTGGAAATGATGATGCTAGTTCAAAAGCAGCCTGGAAAGATGAAAAAAATGAAGTGACAGCAGCAGACATGAAGAAGGATGCTGTTTTGCCTGAGGAAAACACTGCTATCCATAAGATATTTAAAGACAGGACTTGTGTACAAGATGAAGAGATCTCTGAAACAAAACACAGATGGCTTCTAAGCTCTGAAACACAAACAGCTGCTGAATCCTGGAGGTTATTCAACTTCATGGTGCTTTCATATTTGAGAGGAAGACTGTATGCCTACCCAGACCAGCTCTGGCCTGAAAAAACTTATATCCAGCCACTATCTACACAGAACTGTGATTCAGAAACTGAGTGGTGTGATACTTCAAGAAAAGTTAAGGTCTGGCTTTATAGTTGTGCTCTAAGTGCTCCTTACAAAGTGGACAATGCTGCTTGCAGATGACTAAATCTATGGTTAATATATAGGAAAGTGATGTCCTTCCATAGAAGGCTTTTGAGATCTCTTACGCCTAGATGTTTTTACTTCTGAGACAAGCCCTTCTTAGTTCTAGGGACATTGATTCTCAAATACGCTCTCAGCAAGTTTGGGGTGGTAGCAAATTGGGAGGGCAGTGGCTGACAAACTAGAGAATAGGGCTGTGAGTCAAAGGGACCCTGATGGGCTGAAGGGGAGACCTGTGTGAGGTTCAGCCGAAACAACGCAGAGCCCCGAACCTGGGATGTAACAGCTGCGTGCAATGGTGTGGGCAGGGGACTGACTGCGTGGAAAGAAGATTTGCAAGCTGGTAGGCAGCTGAATGTGCGTCAGCGTTGTGTCCTTGTGGCGATGAAGGCCAGCCTCCTGCTTGGCCGTGTTAGCAGAAGTACGGCCAGCAGGTTAAGGGGAGGGATGGTACTTGAGGCCACATCTGGAGTACTGTGCCCAGTTTGGGCTCTCTGGTACGATAAGGATGGTGACAATCTGAAAGTGAGCCTGGTGAAGGGCCACCAAGGTGGTTGGGGGCTGGAGCATGTGATGTATGAGGAGATGCATAGGGAGCTGGTTTTGTTCAGCTGGGTTTTTTTTGGCTTGCAGAAGAAAAGACTCATGGGAGGATCTTAGAGTTGTCTTCAACTAGCTGGTGGGAGAGCATGGAGAAGTTAGCACGACTGATTTTGGGAGGGTGCGGAGGGATAGGATCAAAGGCAATGGACACGTTGAGCGAGGGAAAATCTAGTTAGATATTTGGAAAAAGAAAATCGTAATGAAGATGATCAGTCATTGGAGCAGGGGTCCAGACGGTCTGAAATACCTATCTTTGGAGATATTCAAAGTGTAACTGAATACTTCCCTGTGCAACCTGGTCTGTTGCTGAAGTTAGTATTACTGTGAGGGGTGTGGGAGATGACTTGCAGAGGTGTTCTAGGTCCATAATTTTCTCGTATTCTACGGAGAACTGCTCTAGCAGAGACACAGAAATACCATTTGACCAATGTGTTCAGTTACATTCCAATCCTGGTGACATATTTATTCATTGTGCCTATTTATTAGAATGTAAAAACAGGGATGCTCGGGCATACCAAGCATCTTTTATCAGCCTGGCTTTAGCAATTTGCCCTGTAACATTCTGAGCGGATGAGAAAGACCTGCTGTACTAGAATCCCACCAAAGATTTCACTACACAGGGAGGATGCAGTTAAGAGAAGTTAGAAAAGCTGACTTGGAGAACATATGTGAACCTGGACTGAAACTACCCTTGGAGAAGGGTGCTTTGCATACTCTTCTGAAAAATAGAACTTAAGGAGAGGTTGATGGGAAATACGTTAATTGGGGAACGTACATTCTTTAATAATTTGACGAGTGCTTTGGCACCTTCTAGTTTTCCAGAGCGTAAGGGAAGAAGAGAATTCAGATATTACAGAAACATTTTTGACTGAGCAAGCAGTTTAGAAATATTCAGAGAACATACTTAATTCAAAGTGTTGGATTTGTGTTAAAAAATAAATGTAGAGGAGATAAGGTTAAGATGCTGAAGGAGAAATTTGACTTCCTAAATGTAGCTGGTAAAAGCTTTGCGTAAATATAGCTGCTTTCATGTTTTTCTTGTTGCCTTGCAGGTAGGTTTGAAAATTCTTCTGCTCTGTTCCTAAAGCAGAATAGAGGCTTGCTTTAATAAAGCAGCATCAATATTGCCGTGTTACATACTGCTCAGATACAAAGGAAGAATCCTTCTCTCTGCCAGAGCAAGATGCCCTGCTTGCATCTTGAGTTCCCTAGTGCTACTAAGCAGAAGTAGTTATATTGATGTGAGACTGCTGTGCTCCCTTCAAGCTCTCCTGCTCCTGCTGCCTGCAAGTTTGTGGTCTCTTCCCTGTGTCTGCCTCTTGTTTGAGTATTTGCTGATACGTTGTTTATGTGGCAATGCCTGGGAGTGCTGGGCATGCATCCTGGGTCTGTCCTGGTTGGATCTCTGCATGCAAGGTGAAAAAATAACCCTCCCCACAAAATCTGAATTGACAAGTAGAGCAGAAGATGTGATACTGGTTGGGGAACAGGGTGAAGTTTGACTTGTTTGTTTGGGTTTAAAAAAAAAACAAAAAAACAAAAACAAACCAAAGAAACAAACAAAAAAGTAAAAAAAAAAACAAAACAAAACCACACCCAAACGACCAAAAATCTAATTTTTTTTATACCATGGGAGAACAATTGCAAACTTTGGAAGAACTATGAAAAATTATTTTCTTGGCATTACCAGCAACAGATGCATTTATGCATTAAGAAAAGTTCCTTTAAAAATACAGAAGCTTCCTATAAAAATATGTATATAGTTCTGTACTAAGTCATAAGACTAAAGTTGATAGTCATTCTGAGGCTAGATAGTGATGGAGCCTTTCCTTCATCTGAGCTACAGTTTTACATCAAGATGGAAAATAAATTTGGCACGCTGTTCATGTGTACTTCTGTTATCACTGTCACTCTTGGACTCCGAAGATGCTCACAGTTTGCACTAGCTGTATGATTGTACTCCTCTTTCAGTGCTTACATGCCATTTAATTCTGTCAGCTCGATTTAGGTAACTTTCAAAATCTGAGTTTTCATCAGAGTCATTCAGGTTTGCTATTAAATTTCATCTGAGACAACAAAGCCTTTACAGGCAGGCATGACGTTTTGGCAAGGCCCCAATAGGATACTTAGCTGGTGCCAAATCTTTTATTTTTCTCGGCTATCAATGAAGCTGTTGTGGTAATGTGGGTTTTGTGAGCTGTGAGAATTTATGCGCACAAAGGGACCTGCTCTTTGCAGGGAACACTGGGAGCCCTGAGTCCAGGAGGAAGGGTAATTAAAGTTAATGAACCAGGGTAACCTTTCCATGGTGATGACCACTATCCTGATGGTAGGTAAGGGTCAGGGACTATTCCCATTTTATAATCGTGCTTCTAACTCTGCTCTCTAATTGGTTTTGGATTAAAAAGTGGCCATTACCTCTATAATAGAACTGGTTTGTGGATTTTAAAGGAGTTTTTCAAAGCTGTGCAAGTCTTCAGTGGCTTGTTCTTCTTTGACTTGGCTTTGTGTTGTGTTTTTAATGCAGTCTAAAAATGAAGTATTTTTAGCATTTGAGACCAGATAGTGATGTTTCTATAATGGTTAGTTATCTCTTCATATCAGAACAGGGACTTCTTCCTTAAATGCTTCCCATGTTCAGAGGCTTCATCTAGTTTTATCAGTGAGTCTGAGAAGGCTTCGAACTTGCTGTGCACGGAGCGGTTGTGGGTTTAAGGTGGCAGGCTCTGAAGATAGGCCGAAACACTGACTTAAATCTGTAGCTCTTCTACTTATTTGCTTTTGTGACATCAGGTAAGTTACTTTGTGCAAGGTATTCCCCTTGAAGAGGATTTCATAGTTGGAAGTAAATGTTTCTTTCTCAGAAATGGACTAAACAGAAGAGCTTTGCTGCTGCTATCTCAGAAGTCTTTCTGATATATTGATCTTGCACCAAACAGGGTACAAGCTGAGACCTCATTGGTAGATTAAAATGCACAGTGTCCAAAATGTTAAGTGTTGTTCATTTGTCTGTCTTGATTTTTAATCAGAAGGCTGTGGATTTGATTGCCTCTTATGTAAATGTAGAAATAGAAAATGACTCCTTGAGAATTGGCTGTCTATCAATCCTAAAAACTTCCATTACTAAACCAAATCACACCACAGTTCTTGGTCTTGGTGACTGGTTCCATTTAAAGAGGAGCAGTGCTTTAAGTAAGAATCGGTTTCAATTTCTCTTCGGATTGTTTGTCACAGGTGGTTCGTAGGTATTAGCCTGTTTAAAGGCATTCTCTTTTTAACATAAAATTAACATGTTATTCCTTTTTTTAATAGAAACTGTTTATTTGTTTGGCGGCTGGGATGGAACTCAGGATCTGGCTGACTTCTGGGCATACAGTGTGAAGGAAAACCAGTGGACCTGCATATCCAGGGATACTGAGAAAGAGGCAAGTTCTGCAAACATCCATGTTGTTAGTAATACAGGAATTGTTGCATACAAAAATGCTGTGCTTCTGAAGTGTTTGTACTGATGTGTAGTGTGCAGTGAGAGCCACAAAATTCGAACCTTCAATTTCTGAAGACTTTTGAAATGCTTACGTTGGGAAAACGTGAGATGGACGTGATCTGAAGTGTTAAGATTACTGTAGGGGAAAGGTTTATTTCTCAAGAGCAGACTGATTGGCCAAAAATCAGTTCAGTGAGTAAAACACGAGTGAAATAATTTGATAGGACTGAACAACTAGACTTGCTAACAAGCATTTTAAGCCTGATGCTGGTATTGAGCTTCAGAAACAAATTGTTTATTTCTTTAGTTTCTGTCAAAAATGAGTAGAAATGGACAACTAACAGACAGAAATCTAGAGGAGAGGGGTAACTGCCAGAGGCCACACAATCCCGAGAGCTTTTGTGGTATTCATTTGAGCCGTTTTCCTTGGCTTGTTTTGCTCACTATTTGACGTATGAAACCTTTTGAAATGAATGTAGCTTGGGTTATAGGACGTAACAAAAAAAAGTCCAAGACCTTTGGCTTGTGTAATTCATTCTACTGTATACTGTGTAAGGTTAAAGTTCCATGTGGTTATTGTGTTTTGCATTTGTTACTTGTTTGTTAGAGCATAACTTAAGGAAATTCATGCAGCCTTTTCTTAAAGGTATAAAAGTTTGAGATTCCACCACTTTTTTTACAAATTTAGGTGTTGGTTTCCTCAGCTGTTTGAAAAAAGTATAAAAATGTCTTATTTCCCATTTGTATTTTTCCAGTTTCTTGTCATAGCCAGTTTTGTGAGCTTCCATACCAGATTAAATAACACTTTAATATTGCCTTTTATTCCTGGCAAAGGTGTTTAGAGGTTGTAATCAAGTAGGACAAATAGCCTGAGCTGAAAAAAATCTCACAGTAAGCCACTTCCCGTAGCCTTCAAATCTTTGTGTGTGTCATGCACTTACTGTTTCTAACATCCTTTACAAAATGGGCAATAACAAAACTGAACATGATTTTCTGGTTTCTATCATAATAGAGATGTATAAAAATAAAATTGTCCTTACATTTTGTATCTTTATAAGTTGTTTATTCTTACCGTAAGTTGTGTTTTATTTACTGTTAGTCCTTTCATCACTGTTCATGGCTACTCATTTGTTTACTGATACGATGCTGAAGCTGGATAGTCTTTCAGTGTCCAGTCCTGTAGGCTGGGCTTGTGTTGCTTCTGTTTGTCTTGAACCATGTGTTTTACTATTTTTTTCGCTGTCTACCAATAGGTAACCTCCTTAAGATAAGGAGGGTTGTGTGTGACATAACACCAAGGGGAAATTGGGACTCATCTCTCTTACTGACTGTATGGTAAACAGCTAGACCTTCCTTTCCTTTGCCTCCCTTTATAAGGAGGTTGGGAAAGTGAAGAGCAGTGATAGAAAAGAAGGCACAACAATTTTAATTGTCTCTTCTTTCACTTTTCTTCTGGCTTTGTAGCTGCTTAGTGTGTACATATGTCTAGCTCTGGATGCAGTGAAATAGGGCCTTCCTGTCAAAAAGGGGTTACCGTGTTTTCTTCCCACACAAACGAGTGTGCGTAGTTCTGGTGTTTAAGGGATTAATTTCCTTTCTTGCTGGGATCCTGCCGCATCCAGTTGAGCTTCTGTAAAGCTTGGGAGGCCTGGCTGGGATGCAAGGCGTCAGTGGTGCCAGAAGCAGCGTATGTTTTCTCTTCAAGTTCCTTGTGCCTGACTCTAACCGGGTAACGCTGGGATGGGAGAAAGAAAGGATGTGCAAAGGAGGGCTGCAGAGGAGACACAGTAGAAGAGTTGTGAGTTGATACAATAAAGTGGCTATAAAGGGGTTTTGGAGGTAAAAAAATACAGGGTGCAATGGAAGGTCAGGAAATTCAAAGGGAAGTTGAGAAGGGTCTTGGGCTGAGAGGATGCAAGATAGGGGAATTTAAAAAAAATTGAGAATGAGATGAATGTATGGGGAATTTTGAAGAAGAGATGTACTTAATAGAGAAAAGTGCGAAGAAATGTGTGTGGCTTTAGAAATGGAGTTCTAGAAGGACTGCGTGGATATAGGCTGCAGAGGAGTTGAGAAGAAGGCCTGCCGAGGCATAGTTCAGGGTTTTGGTGACTTACGGAGGTACAGTGAACTGGCGGCTTCTGTACTTGCAAACCAGCAGTGGTTTGGGTTTTTTTGTTTGTTTGTTTTTATATTTTTTTTTTCTAAAGCAATCTGGATAAAACCTGATTTAGAAATGAAAAGGTCAGTCCCAAATGTTGAGAAGTAAATTAAAAAACAAAGATTCCAGATGTTTCTCTAATAGGGACATCAACTGTTCACAAACAATTTGCTAAAAGGAAATGTCTGTTGACATGGAATTTTAAAAAATATTCAGAGTAGATTCCAGTAGGACTTAGTCTTGCTTTTGTGTTGTTTTGTCCTGGTTCTGCTTCTAGCTCTTTTGTTTTAATTAATTGGTGACAGTGGTTAAATTAGCCACTCAATAATTAAGTTTGAATAAGAAAAGAATATGATAAAAGTTGCATCTTACCCAGTGTTATTGTAGGGGTAACACACAGTAACGCTTTTGGGATAAAGGTACTGGTAGCTTCTGTTGCAATGCAGCGTGACCTTTTCAGTAAACTCTGCTGCTGCTGTTTTTCAAAATTTGCCAGTGAGCTAGAAAAATGGCTTTTTGTCACCTGAAGTTGCATTTGTGATTTTTAACAGTTAGACTACCAAAGCTAATTTCCCATTGCCCTTTTTACGTCAGGAAAAAATGCTCACAGCACTGCTGGAGTAGCTGATCACTTACAGTCTTAAAAAGGGGGGTCTACAGGACCTGCTTGCAGTGTTGGGCTGAACTTCCAGCGTACGTACCACAGCTGCTGATAGACAATCAGACCTGAATTAGAACTTCCTTACCATCCCTTCAGTGTATGGATCTGGCAAGGCTCCTGCAGTCCTTGTCAAATCATCCTCTTCCAAGCCTGCATCCTTCCAAGGAGACGCACCATGGAGCAGCTCATGACTTCTCAACTGTACCCACAGCTTCGGTCCTTGTGTCTCCCCTTGGAGTGCTCAAACATGCAACAGCCCTACAAATCAGTTGGCATGAGGCATAGCCAAAACATGTTTAGTCTAAAAGCCTTAAGGATTTTTACCCTGAACAAAGTGGAATGTTCTGACAAATGCCATTGTCTCCAGGGGTTTATTAGTGGTTGTAGATCGGTAGACTTCTCCAGTGTTTGGGAATAAATAGTTTTGAAAAAACAAACCTTGTCATTCCTTGGGCATTTTGATCGTAGGCCAGCGTCAATTAATAGAGAAACTTAATGTGTGTGTTTTGATGTCTAATATTTCTGGTTTCCAAGCAGCAACTTTCTCTTTTGAAGGCCAATTTAGTGAAATTCAGTACAGGAGGACAGTTTAAGTGAACTGTAGGAAAGACTTCGCTTGATATAAATTGATAGTTATGTGGATTTTTAAATAGGATCAAAATGCTGAGGGATGTTGATGCCTCTGGAGATTTGATAAAGGAGAATAAAGAATCGTGATAGTTGGCATATTTGGTATGTCACTAGTATTCTTGTGCCTTGTTTCAGTATTTCCTAGAGACATGAGAAGAGTTACAGGATCTCCTTCAAACAGTGTGTTACTACACAACTTGGTAGCTTCTGTGGTGCATATTTGTAAATATGGTATGTTGACTCATCCTCATTCTGACTTTTTTTTTAGAGGAAAATCCTGCTCACATATCAGCTCTGTGAAGGTCGTGGAAATTGTATAAACGGGTTAGGTTTAGTTGACACTGTGTTTCTCAAAAACTTTTTAAAGTGTTTCTTGCCAAAGGTACAAGTGAAGGTCTTTGTCATGGGTTAACTGGTTGAGAGGATAAATTGTTTTTCACAATGAAGGAAAGCATAGGTCAACAAGTGCCTACTGTTCAGTAGGTTCAAAACGATATAGAAAATCGGTGTATTGTTAGGTGACAGTTTGCTGCTAACACCAAGTGCTTTTCCTGGATACTGAAAGTGAAAGCTGACAAGTGTAGAAAGATCTCATAATAGTGAGAGCCAGGGTGAATTTCATCTGCTACTGTATTTTGAGTTAAATTTTCTATGGTGTCTGCATGCTTTTCTTTACGTTTGTTGACATGGATGAATTTACCCAAAGCTTCCAACATCGTATTACCCCACAAGCATTTTATGTATTTGTAAGCGTTTGTGACACCTATGACTAATGTTTGGGTTTGTTTTTTTGGGTTTTTTTTTTTTTTTCCTGGTGTGATGCAGAAATATGTAAGCTTATCTATGTAAGCTTTTACCCTATGCTGTTTTAAGTGTAGGAACTGAACTAGTCTCAAATATTGACTTCTTACCACAGATGGTGATATGCTTTGGAAGACACTTTAAGTAACTTGAGGGTTTTTTTTGTTTCAAATACTATGATGTTTATGGACTTGATCTAATATACTGAATCTGCCATGTCCTGCTTCTGAATAGTTCCAGTTATACAGATGCTCAGTTGTACAAGATGCCTGGTGCCACAAAAGCACATAGGGAGAAAGCAGCTGTCCCCAAAAGCCTGCAATAGAAACTTGGATACTGCAGATACACCTCTGAGCCAGCTTCCTAAATAGTGTAAATGCCTACAAAAGTAGGGACAAGGAAGGCAGATGCTGAAGTGAACCAAATGAAAAGTGTTCTAGGCCAATCCTAAATATCGCATGTTAATGTTTTATTTTCCTCCCTGCTTAGTAGCATAATGGTTTTAAAGTGTTCTAGCCACTCTGCTTTCTCTAAAATGTTAGAGACTTTCTGATATGCCTGACTGACTTCTCCAGTGATTTCCTCATAGGCAGCCTAAAACAAAAAGACCCTGTTGAGGGAAGAGTACCTTGAGATTATTTTTTTTAAAAAGTAAACTTTTTGGAAAAGATCTTCAGCTTTTAAAGGT